GTGACATTACTAACGTTCAATCGCCAGGGTACGTATATCCGGGTCGTTCATCTCAGTGAACGACTTAGAACTGCTTCTTTGACGTGCTCTTTTCACGGATTAGTCCAGGTTTCATCTCAACAGCAGCGACGGTCGTTCTAGAGTTTACTGTCGTGTTGGTGAACGTTTCCATGACAGTTGTGTGATTTAACGAAATACATTCGGCGGAGGTAGTGTAATGGTGTGGGATGGCATCTCATTCCATGGCAGAACAGCTCTAGTTGTTCTGGACGGCACAGTTATCTCACGTCCTTCCATTTATGCAGCAACGCTGCAATAGGATAACGCTCGCCAGCACCTGTTACGTGCGCGTGCACGTGTGGATAGGGAATGGTATTCCTCAGGCATTTTCCAGCACACTTGTTGCATCAATAAAAGTCAGATAAATCTCAGTTGAAAATTGTTTGGCGATTTATTATATACCTCCTATGTTATGATATACCCATGCAGAGTCTATTTTTCCACTAACATCTGAATTAAGCTTAGGCTATGGAGCGATAAATTAATTTTGCTTGTATTTATTTGTTACGAAAAGGATGTAAGTTGTAATAACTGAAGTTCAATTCACTTGTCCTTTTCTTGCAATGAAGTTGATTTAAATTAAACTGCGTTATATCAAATGTATACTAACAAATTAGTTAGACATTACTAAAGAAGAAGAATCTTGACGGGTGTGCTGAGAAATGTAGAAAACGATTAAAACAAAAAAAATTTAACCGTACCCATAACCATCGTTTCAGAAGGCTTTCTATTGCTTTCTAGAAGCATATGGTATTAGAAGTAATCTTTTAAATTAGTTGAAAAGTTACATCTCAGGTCGGAAACAACAAGTACTGGTTAATAATGTGTATTCTGATCCAGGCTTTACGAATTCAGGTGTTCCACAAGTATACATAATATTGTTGTGCCGAATCCCATTTGCTATATTGAACATATAAAATATTTTTACATCAAAATGCTCTCTCGTGATGAAGTTCCAGGAAGAACGGCATCGTAGATCAATGATAGAAAACCTCCATAGATATACTGCTGATACTGTTCTATACCCATGGTTTTACATCAAACATAAGACAGAGTTTTATTTTATATAATAAAAATGTCTTTGACAAAATTTGATTTTTCATATGGAGCAGACTAAAGAGGTAACCATAAAAGACACTATTTCGCATTTTCAATAATGTTTGTCACGTAATCCGTGAGAAATTCTTTTTTTTCATTTTCTTTTTGAATCATGTAAAAAATCAACAAGAAAATATCAACATGTTAACACCATCCTAATCCTAACTCAAACTCCATTAAACTAGATTAAAATATAAACAAAAGAACGATTCTTATATACAGCATGCATTCTTTTGATAGTAGAACATTTGTCATGCAGCTAAAAAGTTCAAATAGGCCGTTCTGGGTAATTATGAATTAGGAAATCAAGAGACATAACTCAGTTTTGTATTGGACAGAGCTTTCCTCTTCTTAGAAATTACTTCAGGATTAAAAATGTTTAGCGCCGTACTCGAAAAAATATTTGTTTTTCCCACAAACTATTTACTTATAAGTGTTCTTTGTAAACCATGCTCTTCGTTAACTTTAACAAAGAAAACGTTTATGGAACATTTCGTGTCTATTCCAGCCTACACCAGACTGGATGCCGTTATAGGTAACAACACATATTGATATTGGTACCAAAATGTACAAACGTGATGTATCATTGTTCATGATAAATCGGCAGATCTTGCTTTGATACATGTTTGTACACAACAATGAACAAGTTTGTAGTTTGTTTTCATATACCAATTAAACTTTATTCAGGTTTAGATTTATGTAACTGATATTTTACTATCTCGACTTTCAGATTTCCACACTGCAGCATCGCTGATGAGTCCTAAAGAAACGAAACAGCTGAATGATGCAGTTTTAATTCATTTTGGTTCTGCTGTATCTCATTGTGTATTTGTATTGAAAGATGCTAATCACTTGTGTGTTTTCCTTACGTTCTTTGGACCCCTAGCATCACAGACGAGGAGCGGAACTAAAGTGTGACTAAGTTTATCGGTTCATTACTCGATCTAGACTGTAGTTTCTTGTTGTTTTTAATTCCTTCAGATGGAATTTAACTGTGCTTGCCAATATCTTGGGCCTGTAATCTCTGCATCACAGTGGAAAATTATGTGTTTATGTTAGAGTTGTCTCCCTTACAACAGTCACCTAGTCTGTCTAGTCGGCTACACTGCCGTCTGATGTAAAAGTTATTAAGACTGAAAATGCAGCTCACCGAACAGCGTTTCATAAAAGCAAACCATCTGGATATTAATCACTTTACACAGCAGCCACAGTATTACATACTAATACCTCCTCTCTGAACAATAGGTTAAAAAATCGCAAAAGTACGTGTCACCTGCACCATCAATGAAACTCGCAATGTCAATGGTCAATTCAAGTAAGTCACGGTCACGTTTATTAACACTGAGACCACCAGGCATGCTATAGCGCAGTGAATAAATCCAACTTCAAAACAGAAATTTCCCCATTAATCATGAAGTCAATAATTTCAATAGATTTTTTTTTTCAAATCCTCTCTGAACCACGTTATCTGAAGTAAATAAATCAACTCTCTGAACCATGTTATCTGTAGTAAATAAATCAACTCTCTGAACCACTTTATCTGAAGTAAATAAATCAACTCTCTGAACCACTTTGTCTGAAGTAAATAAATCAACTCTCTGAACCACTTTATCTGTAGTAAATAAATCAACTCTCTGAACCATGTTATCTGTAGTAAATAAATCAACTCTCTGAACCATGTTATCTGTAGTAAATAAATCAACTCTCTGAACCACTTTATCTGAAGTAAATAAATCAACTCTCTGAACCATGTTATCTGTAGTAAATAAATCAACTCTCTGAACCACTTTATCTGAAGTAAATAAATCAACTCTTTGAACCATGTTATCTGTAGTAAATAAATCAACTCTCTGAACCACTTTATCTGTAGTAAATAAATCAACTCTCTGAACCACTTTATCTGAAGTAAATAAATCAACTCTCTGAACCATGTTATCTGTAGTAAATAAATCAACTCTCTGAACCACTTTATCTGAAGTAAATAAATCAACTCTCTGAACCACTTTATCTGTAGTAAATAAATCAACTCTCTGAACCACTTTATCTGTAGTAAATAAATCAACTCTCTGAACCATGTTATCTGTAGTAAATAAATCAACTCTCTGAACCACTTTATCTGTAGTAAATAAATCAACTCTCTGAACCATGTTATCTGTAGTAAATAAATCAACTCTCTGAACCACTTTATCTGAAATAAATGAATCAACTCTTTGAACCATGTTGTTTTACCCACCAGATCGAAGTGATTTATTATGTTTTGTAATTATTTCTATACGTTTGGGCTGTGACGTCTTCAGAATAAAAGCATTAGCGAGATGTCAATGTGCATCTTAAGTAACGCTGTTAAAAGAACACTTTTGTTATGCTCTCTTGATAGAAAGTGAAAGCTTCTTGTCATAAACTATAGATATAGCATTTGTGTACAGACGATCCTTCGTCAGTATTTTGATGTCTCAATAATCTAAAAAAAAATCTTTCTTTTTTTTAATTTTACTTCCGTTTCCGCAAGGAGAGGTTTTTCATTTTATTTGTTTGCTTGTTGCATCATCCCAATAATAAAATTGACAGTATGCAAAATAGCGCAAACCTCCCCAGAGATAGGAAACATAGACGATATAACTCCGGCACTGTGCACTAGACGTTGGCTACACGGACCGTCTAACACGGCTTCACATGTTATCGGTATTTTTTGAATCCTCGGATGACATTTGTGTTACCGATTTTATGCATTCTCCTGAACAAGAAAAAGGAAACGAAAAAGTAGAGAAAAGTGTCTTTTTGAAAGGATAACGTGCCTCGCTAGAGGTAAACTAGATAAATGAACAGATCTGCTAAATCTAAAAGATTCTGTCAGCCAATGATTCTGTGTATAACTGCCAGCGTCACCATACAGTTGTAACTAAATGGCAATAGAATGGCCGTAACTAATTTGATAAAGTACATTTATGTAAAAACATTTATGTAAAACAGCACGTAAACCGCTTATATAACTTAATATATGGACACTTGCCTATATATTATATTTCAGTTTGGGGTACATCGTAACATGTGTAATGTGTTGAGGGACTATGGTATCTATCCGAAACATCTGTCTCACCTTCGTAGTTGAGTTAAGGGTATACGTTGTTAAGAACCTTTTTTCCTCCGATCCTGCTTTAGATGTTTACGATATAACACAATTTCCTGCCTTTTCAGCGTTTTGTTAGCGGTAGTACACATATACTTGTATGTATCTAAACAATATCGGGAAACAGGGAAGGCACACAAAATCTGAAATTAACCGGAGATAAATACTGTCTTTCGTTCATACAACTAGACCCTTTGGTTTATTATAAAGAACTCTGTCACGTGACAATTGCTCCTGATTGTACACCTTATGTATCATAACATTGACATTTTATCAGTGAGTGTTTTATATATTTAAGATAAAACAGTACATTATCAATTAAAACATATTCATTATTTCACAAATGCTTACCAAAAGATATTTCCGATTTTAAAAAATCAGGTTAAGACTGATATGAACTGGTATTTATATGTTTTACTCATTAAAGAGGAAATGACTTATAGGACCACAGACAGATAGCGTCCTACGCTAAGTCAAAGACATATCAGCAAATGGTTCATTTGTAATTATAGTCACCAGTGACAGTATTATCATCATCAAAATTAGCTGAGTAGAGATTTACTAGAAATCATTAAACCGATAAACGTTAATGGTGAAAATGATTAATACAATATGGCATTTAAAAAGTTGTTTGTCTTTCAATGAAGTCACTGTGTGTGGTCTGAACGACGAGCTACCGCGTGAAAAAAGAATACCTTGCTACCTGTAAACTCTAATGAGGAGATTTTATAAATCTCAGAGAGTTACTACCGACAGAAAGATCTCAGAGAGTTACTACCGACAGAAAGATCTCAGAGAGTTACTACCGAGAGAAAGATCTCAGAGAGTTACTACCGAGAGAAAGATCTCAGAGAGTTACTACCGAGAGAAAGAACTCAGAGAGTTACTACCGAGAGAAAGATCTCAGACAGTTATTACCGGGAGAAAGATCTCAGAGAGTTACTACCGGGAGAAAGAACTCAGAGAGTTACTACCGAGAGAAAGATCTCAGGGAGTTACTACCGGGAGAAAGAACTCAGAGAGTTACTACCGAGAGAAAGAACTCAGACAGTTACTACCGGGAGAAAGATCTCAGAGAGTTACTACCGGGAGAAAAATCTCAGAGAGTCACTACAGAGAGAAAGATCTCAAAGAGTTACTACCGAGAGAAAAATCTCAGAGAGTTACTACCGGGAGAAAGATCTCAGAGAGTTACTACCGGGAGAAATATCTCAGAGAGTTACTACCGGGAGAAAGATCTCAGAGAGTTTCTACCGGGAGAAAGATCTCAGACAGTTACTACCGAGAGAAAGAACTCAGACAGTTACTACCGGGAGAAAGATCTCAGACAGTTACTACCGGGAGAAAGATCTCAGAGAGTTACTACCGAGAGAAAGAACTCAGACAGTTACTACCGGGAGAAAGATCTCAGAGAGTTACTACCGGGAGAAAGATCTCAGAGAGTTACTACCAGGAGAAAGATCTCAGAGAGTTACTACCGGGAGAAAGATCTCAGAGAGTTACTACCGGGAGAAAGATCTCCGAGAGTTACTACCGACAGAAATATCTCAGAGAGTTACTACCGAGAGAAAGAACTCAGAGAGTTACTACCGGGAGAAAGATCTCAGAGAGTTACTACCGAGAGAAAGATCTCAGAGAGTTACTACCGGGAGAAAGATCTCAGACAGTTACTACCGGGAGAAAGATCTCAGAGAGTTACTACCGGGAGAAAAATCTCAGAGAGTCACTACCGAGAGAAAGATCTCAGAGAGTTACTACCGAGAGAAAAATCTCAGGGAGTTACTACCGGGAGAAAGATCTCAGAGAGTTTCTACCGGGAGAAAGATCTCAGAGAGTTACTACCGAGAGAAAGAACTCAGACAGTTACTACCGGGAGAAAGATCTCAGACAGTTACTACCGGGAGAAAGATCTCAGAGAGTTACTACCGAGAGAAAGATCTCAGAGAGTTACTACCGGGAGAAAGATCTCAGAGAGTTATTTCCGGGAGAAAGATCTCAGAGAGTTACTACCGACAGAAAGATCTCAGAGAGTTACTACCGAGAGAAAGAACTCAGAGAGTTACTACCGAGAGAAAGATCTCAGAGAGTTACTACCGGGAGAAAGATCTCAGACAGTTACTACCGGGAGAAAGATATCAGAGAGTTACTACCGGGAGAAAAATCTCAGAGAGTCACTACCGAGAGAAAGATCTCAGAGAGTTACTACCGAGAGAAAAATCTCAGAGAGTTACTACCGAGAGAAAGATCTCAGAGAGTTACTACCGTGAGAAAGATCTCAGAGAGTTACTACCGAGAGAAAGAAAGATCTCAGACAGTTACTACCGGGAGAAAGATCTCAGAGAGTTACTACCGGGAGAAAGATCTCAGAGAGTTACTACCGGGAGAAAGATCTAAGAGAGTTATTTCCGGGAGAAAGATCTCAGAGAGTTACTACCGGGAGAAAAATCTGCCTTAAAGCCTTCTTGACACTTGTAGTATATTTTTGCGTTTATGTACAATAAACTGTGTGTGTACCAAAGAATATATCACCACAACATATCTGAACGTCAACACCTTATAGTGGCTAAAAATATAAAGTATGAAAAGTGTGATTCACCATCGATACGTGGATAATTCGGTCCCGTCACAGTGCATACATTTGAAACGAATTTCCATTGAGTTACTTTGACAGATATATTACAGGAATGCCGACTTGCTTAAATTCACCGAAATATCATTACGTTCAGGAATCCCTCTGGGCGATCCAAGAAGCCTGCAAATTTCCGCATTTTGAATTGTGAATTTAATGTTTAAAAGAGCTGTCCTGTCTTTATATTAAATGCATTCGAATAATGTGCCGCCCATTGATCTCACCCAAGCTTTTAGTTTAGAATCGAAATTAGCCAATTTCCTAAGATGGATAACCCTGACCCGAGGGTGGATTTCTCTAAGTGATATTGACTGATAGTCGTTCTACACTTAATCCAGCGTTACGTTACTATGTAAGCTCATTGCCTATAAAAGGTGTCATTAAGATTCACCCTATTATGTATACCTTGAAGGATAGTTCACTTTCCTTTTAAATTATATAATTCTTTTGACAGTGCAATGAATAATTGCCTTAAATGAGGATTTATCTATGATATCGATCTAACCTAACAGTAGCTGGCGTGCAACAACACCGCCATCATCTACATGTAGTTCTATAATCCAGTCAAATCTTGCTTCTTCAATTGTCATGGCGCAGTTTTCATAATTTCATGTCAGTTGATGCAAAGACATCAGTATGTATCAGGCAAATTCCCGTAAGAAAACAATACATTAAAGTTGAATGAAGACACGGTACAATCTCGTTCTGTGATATAGAAATATAATACAATAGATGGAATGATAATTCACAGAAATTGTATATTTATAATCATTTCTGACAGTCAACTAAATGTCTGTGGTTAACAAATCACAATATACAAACAAGGTCATTTTAACATTTGTTAACAGTCTACCCATATAGGTTATCACAGTCTACCCATATAGGTTATCACAGTCTACCCATCTTGGTTATCACAGTCTACCCATCTAGGTTTCACTGTCTACCCATTTAGGTTATCACAGTCTACCCATCTATGTATTCACAGTCTACCCATCTTGGTTATCACAGTCTACCCATCTATGTTTTCACAGTCTACCCTTCTTGGTTATCACAGTCTACCTGTCTTGGTTATCACAGTCTACCCTTCTTGGTTAACACAGTCTACCCGTCTTGGTTATCACAGTCTACCCATCTTGGTTATCACAGTCTACCCATCTTGGTTATCACAGTCTACCCATCTATGTTTTCACAGTCTACCCTTCTTGGTTAACACAGTCTACCCGTCTTGGTTATCACAGTCTACCCATCTTGGTTATCACAGTCTACCCATCTTGGTTATCACAGTCTACCCATCTATGTTTTCACAGTCTACCCTTCTTGGTTATCACAGTCTACCCGTTTTGGTTATCACAGTCTACCCATCTATGTTTTCACAGTCTACCCTTCTTGGTTAACACAGTCTACCCGTCTTGGTTATCACAGTCTACCCATCTATGTTTTCACAGTCTACCCTTCTTGGTTAACACAGTCTACCCGTCTTGGTTATCACAGTCTACCCATCTTGGTTATCACAGTCTACCCATCTTGGTTATCACAGTCTACCCATCTATGTTTTCACAGTCTACCCTTCTTGGTTAACACAGTCTACCCGTCTTGGTTATCACAGTCTACCCATCTTGGTTATCACAGTCTACCCATCTTGGTTATCACAGTCTACCCATCTATGTTTTCACAGTCTACCCTTCTTGGTTATCACAGTCTACCCGTTTTGGTTATCACAGTCTACCCATCTATGTTTTCACAGTCTACCCTTCTTGGTTAACACAGTCTACCCGTCTTGGTTATCACAGTCTACCCGTCTTGGTTATCACAGTCTACCCATCTATGTTTTCACAGTCTACCCGTCTTGGTTAACACAGTCTACCCGTCTTGGTTATCACAGTCTACCCATCTTGGTTATCACAGTCTACCCATCTTGGTTATCACAGTCTACCCGTCTATGTTACCACAGTCTATCCTTCTAGGTTTTCACCGTCTACCCTCCTAGGTTTTCACCGTCTACCCATCTTGGTTATCACAGTCTACCCATCTATGTTTCACTGTCTACCCATCTATGTTAGCACAATATACTCTTTTAGGTTTTCACTGTCTACACTTTTTGGTTTGCAGAGTACCTGCTAATAGCTGAAAGCTGACTGAAGGATGAATCGTGTGTGTTTGACATACTATAACTAAAATTGCTACATTGATTTATATGTCTTTTTTTCACAAACTGAGCAGGAGATATTGTTTTATGCTATAGGATCATCACTATTGATTTCCACGAAAATGTAGCGATCTTATATATACTTCCTGAACATAAGAACGTTTTATATAAATGTAACTGATATAGTCTCTTTCTATGAACACCATAAACGTGTCGCCGTGTTAATGATGAAGGATGATTTATAGACAGATACACATAATGGCTTTCGTCTGTTGTCTGTCTAAGCTTCAGATTATGTCTATTTTTTCCTTACCTGTCATCATCTCACCTGTCCGACCTGTCGTTATCTCACCTGTCTTGTGTCCTCACCTGACCAGGATATTACCTTTGTGTTTATATGTTCCTACAATACAAACTTAGAATAAGTCAGGCTTGTATCAACAACAGACATTTTGTCAAATTTTCACATGCGATCAAATACATTATATATTAAAAAAAGGATTTTAAAAATGGTTATGATATGTTGATTATTCACCAAAGCGACAAAATGTTTTTAAAAATACATAAATATTGCCATGAATCGACACACAATTATCAATGTAAATTTGTTTTATCTTGAAAGATACTCGATTTTCAGTTGTATATCTCGGTGTAAGTTTGATGCCCCATGTATGACATATGAAGGAAAATGAGTTAACGAGATGTTGTCGATAAATGAATACATCTGTAGTTAGAAATTTTAAAAAATAAAGCCCTCATTACAAACAGTATCTGTATGGATGACTCTGTAAATGATGACCACTGATTCCGTGATTGTCAGGAGGATTTCACGGTTCACATATTGAGTGTAGCTACTGTGATTGTATATCTCGATTGATTTATTGAAAAGCGAGAGGGATTGTACATAGCATAGACTAATGTGATAAACTCATTTATATATTAATTAACATGTCAAGTATATAACTCTATTGGTTATACCACACCGTGTCGACCTTTCAAATTTCTTGATTCCATCCGAGTACGATAAGACAGTAATTGAGATTTCAATCGTAGAAATTTTGAGACATTGTTATACAATCTTACAGCCATAACTTCTCTTTCCTTTCAAGCACGCCCTCAGCTGAGTGCCTCAGCCATAATACTGTCAGACAGAGGATTGCAGGCTGGCTGGGAATCTGGTGAACATGAATTTGTTGGCTTCAGTTCGAACTTGTCGCTATGGTTGGTAATCGAAACAATGACACATTCGAACATATGCAACATAGAGACGTGTAAGAGGATAGCAAGACTTACGTACTAGTGAAACCATCTTTTTATCATCCCAACATTCGTTTAAAGTGTCACAGAATTATTAATTAGCGCGCTGATTCAGCTTGTTGCTTCAAAATACAAAAAAACTAGGAAATATTCATATTTTTATGACATTATCCACTAGTTATCCATTGAATTCGCCCATGTAATAGTTAACAATTTCGATAACACTTTTCACGAAATCAAATATAAAATGACAGTTCATTTCAGAACCAACAAGTATGGCCCATTGACATTTAATGCTATTTGGAAAATAAAGTAAAAATTGGCAATAAATGTCACAACACAGGCGTATATCAAGTAGATACGTCCCACAAGCGGGGGTTTCCTCAATCATTTGTCGTCAGACAATTTTCGATAAATGTTTTTTTTTCTATTATTCGGACTTTTTCACCAGCATGGTGTTCAGCATTGCTAATATTTGATCCTCTTCCCTAGAAATGGTCCTCGAAGTAACGAGGACATTAGAGCTCATATATCAACAGTTAAATCCTCCTTGTACTTCACACATTACTGCAGCATTTAGGCTGTAATTAAGTGTACTTTGTCAAGCTGTAATGACGAGCTGATATACATGTGTGGAAACAGTATGATAACAGTATGATAACAATCTCACAGCTCAGTCATGAAAGCAGATACGAGTTACATGGTTTATCCTGAGTTACGACCACGAGGGTACATTAAATTTCTCTTAAGATATCATTTTTTTCTGGTTCAATCAGCGTACATGACGATGGCATCGATTGGTGTCATATGTAATGTGTAATGTCTGGTATTGACCAAACATTCACTCCTTGTCTCAAAACATAAACTGTATTCTAAAGGTTATGAGAGACAAAAGTGGCAAGCAACTTGTGTTTTAAGATAATTATCGTGTATTAATCTATTAATCCTGCATTATTGATTAAAAATCTTTTTTTACCTGATATTAACGTCGCGTTTAATTTTGTCTGATCACCACGCCAAAAAATGCTCCGCACGATGAATATTTGTAAATAAACGTGTTCTCTACATCATATATAATTGCTGATTTAAAGAGTTATTTATAACGGCAGTTTTGAAGTAAATTCGTATAGTAATTCTATCGAATTAATGCACGTGCTAAAATGCAGCTGTTTTCCGAAAATGCCGAATACAACAAATATATATATAGCAGGTGTATTCGGACAACAGCATTACCAATTGTAGGATATTTAACAGTATATTTCTTCGGTGTTGATCAGCCGAAGAGATTACCTAGACACCTAAATTTAGTATATAAATTTGTCTTTGTTTTAAGTTCTATGTATGTAGTGTAACTAATGTAACATCTATGTCGTGATAAAGGTCCACATTTTCCTTGAAAATTTGACAATTCACTTTTTCGCGC